CGGATATTCGGATCCAGCGGACGCTGCGCCAGGTTGTTCGTGGATGTACGTTGCTGGTTATTGCGCATCGACTGTCGACGATTGCGGACTTTGATAGGATTATTGTTCTGGATGGGGGCAGGGTGGTGGAGATGGGGCCACCGGGGGAGCTGATGAAGACTGAGAATGGGGTTTTCCGGGGATTGGTGGAGGAGAGTGGTGAGAGGATGGCGATTGAGCAGATGATTGAGGGTGCAGTATAGATAGATAGATTTAGAGCCGTTCAGCATTGACTCCGACTTGTTATACCAACTTTGGCATGCCTTGACTTTATTCCGCTGCTACATACCTTAGTGCTCGCTTGGATTGACAAGGCATCATACAACAGTATTACTGTGTTAATTATAATCAAAATATATAAAGCTGATTAAAAAATTATACATATCAAATCCAAGACCCTACGAGAACAAAGCCAAAAACCAAAAAAAGAGCCGAACGCGGGGGTCGAACCCGCAACCTTGAGATTAAGAGTCTCACGCTCTACCGATTGAGCTAGCCCGGCGAGCTGATATCTGCGGTCACTTTCATAGCCTAATCAGTCTGCCAGTACTGCACCATCCAATCATCTGCATTACCTGACCCTGATGATCAGGGTTTAGAGCATGTGGGCGGATCATTTGCTCTGGTTGTACAACTTTAGACCCTAGTCTAATTTTTGCTACCTAGGGACTGCAGTAGCCCAATTTCTGGACGCCCGCATATTCCCATCCAGCCTTGTGACCGGATTGGCAGATACTTTCATATCCATGGTTGACTTGGCCATGTGTCAGGGGTAACGATAATAACTGAAGAAATTTTTGCTGCTTTCTTTGCAGTCATCTTCAAGTATGGCACTGTTATTATTGAGTTTTGGATCGATCAGATGGCATCTTCAGAATGTGTATTGTGATTGGTCATATATTGATTGCCAAAATAATAGTCAAGAATTCAGCTCGATCCCTTACTTCCTAGTCTGGACAAGATGAAGACTAAAAGGAGTCTAAAATCCCTAGCCACAAGCTGCTTCTCGTTCTACTTTCTAGTCTCGTCTCTAGTCTAGCGTTAAGATGGCTCTTCGCCTGTGATCGTTGCATGTGTCGAGTCCTCATGCCTCCAGTGGTCGGCTAACACACCTCTTCTTGGATGTACACCCATCCGTCCATTCATTCATCATTCATTCATTGCTTGGCAGTTGTAGCGGTTTACCCCGCCAGCAAGTGAGGGTGATCAGGCCACTCGCTTGTCTTGCTTCTTTATGTTCAGAAACCGTGATCTGTGGTCGTGTGGCAGACTATCCACATTCACTTGTTCAGTAGACCTGTTCTTAGATATATATTGAGAGACGTCAGGACGGACATAGAGGCATGGCTATACCTTCATCGTATTCATGAAAGACCATACTGACTCTGCCCCCGCCAGGCCCCGTCTCCGCTCACTCATTGTCTCCGCAATAGCGGCGGCCTTACTGACGATGCAGTGCCTGAGCGTCCTCCTAGTCGTAACCTTGCTGCATCCCGTCGTCGAAGCCACCGACCTGACGTCCCATGTTAACCTCTTGTAAGCCCCTGTCTCAGAAAGCCGTGGCAGATGCTAATGTGAGCGCAGCACGGGCACCCAGAATGGCGGGAACAACTTCCCCGGCGCCGCCCGGCCCTTCGGCATGGTCAAGCTCGGCCCGGACCTGCTCAACCCCGGCACAGACGCCTACTCGGGGTACCTGCCCAATGGCGCCTTCTCGGGCTTCAGCCTGATGCACGAGCAAKGCACAGGCGGGGCCCCCAAGTACGGCACCGTGGCGCAGTTGCCGCTGGTCGGCGAGATCAGCGACCCGCTGTCGAATAAGACGGTGGCGCGCGCGGGCGCGGACGAGGCAGAGGTGGGATACTACAGGGCGCGCACGGCGGACGGCGTAGTTGTTGAATTGGCTGCTACCGCGCGGGCGGGCATGTATCGGTATACGTTCCCGGTTGGGGCAACGGGGAATGTCCTTGTGGATGTGTCGCATGTTCTGCCCTCGTTTCGAGGGCAGGGGCTTGGCCAGGGGTATAAGGGGGGGAATTTGACGATTTTTCCGGATGGGCATTATGAGGGCCATGGGGTGTATGATAACGGGTGGAATCGGTCCCCGGATTGGGCTATTTACTTCTGTTAGTTGCGTGTTTGGCGGGTTGTTTGGATGCTTGGCTGATGTTTGCAGGTGGTTACTTTGACGCTGAGCCGGTCAGCAACGCAACGTATATCGGGACGGATGCGCAGGGCAGTGTCAAGCAGGAGAGCGGCTCCGCGTCCTCGACTTCGGGATCGACCCGCGTCGGAGGTGTCTTCTCCTTCCAAGATGCCGTGGTGACGTCTCGTGTCGGCATCTCGTGGATCTCCATGCAGAAAGCCTGCAAGCACGTCCAGGATGAGATTCCCCACGGGACAGAGCTCACCTCTGTTGTACAAGCCGCCAAAGCCGAATGGAACACCACCGTCTTGTCCAAGGTGACGACAACAAACACAAACGCCACCAGTCTCGAGCTGCTCTACTCCTCGCTGTACTTTATGCACCTGATCCCTACCAACCAGACAGGCGAGAACCCCAGCTGGACATCCTCGGAGCCCTATTACCAGGATATCTTCACATACTGGGTACTTCCCTTTCCCTTGCCTGCTTTCGGTCGAACTGACGATCTAGGACCTCTTCCGCTGCTCCACGGCCCTCATGCAAGTCCTGCAACCCACAGCCTACGAAGAGCAAATCCGCTCCCTGATCGACATCTGGCGCTTCGAAGGCTACCTACCCGACGCGCGCTCGTCCAACTACAACGGTCGCACCCAGGGCGGCTCCAACGCCGACAACATCCTCGCCGACGCCTACGTCAAGGGCGTCCGCGGCGCCGTAAACTGGGAAGACGGCTACAAAGCCATGCTGAAAGACGCCGAGGTCGCACCCCCCAACGACCCCCTCGACCCCATGGCGCCCGACTCATCAACAAAGGAAGGCCGCGGCGCGCTGCCCGATTGGCTGAGTCTGGGCTACATCACGCCGAAGTACACCCGGGCCGTGACGCGCGCGGTCGAGTACGCCTGCAATGACTTTGGGCTGTACCAAATCGCATCGGGGTTGGGGAAGCACGCCGACGCGGAGAAGTATCTGAACCGCTCGCGGAACTGGCGCAACCACTGGAATCCGGCGCAGACGTCTCTCGGATTCTCTGGGTTTGTGGTGCCGCGGAACACGTCCGGGTTTCTTGAGACGGACCCCCTGGCTGATAGCGGGTACTGGGGGGATCCGTACTACGAGGCGAGCTCGTGGGCGTACTCGTGGGCTAGCGTGCATGATATGAAGGAGATGGTGGAGCGGATGGGAGGCGAGAAGACGGTCGTTGAGCGGCTGAATACCATGTTCACGGAGGGAGCGAGCGGGTCCAGTGGGATTATCTTTGATCCTACGAATGAGCCGTAAGTTTCCATTTTCTGCTGAGGACAAGAGGAAATTACTGACAAGCGTAGCATGTTCAATATCCCATATCTATACAACTACGTCGGCCGACAGGATCTCTCCGTTGCGCAGTCCCGCAAGGTCGCTAAAAAGTACTACAACACGGGCGTGGCAGGGTTACCTGGTAACAGCGATGCAGGGGCAATGCAGACGTGGCTACTTTGGAACATGATCGGGCTGTATCCGGTTACAGGGCAGACGACGTTCCTCATCCATTCGCCGTGGTTTGAGTCCTTGGCTATCGACCTTGGAGGTGATAAGCAGCTGCGCGTCACAGCAACCGGGGGTGACGGCAACGGTGACAGCAAGATTTATGTCCAGAGTCTCAAGGTTAATGGGAAACAGTGGCGGAAGAACTGGCTGACATGTGGTGACGTTTTTGGAAATGGAGGCACTCTCGAGTTTGAGCTGGGGGAGAGCCCGACTGACTGGTTCACGGGCGAGCTACCTCCCAGCCCTGCATCATAACCTGGCAGGCCGGGTGGGTGCATCCTTATAATTTATGAAGAATAGTATTAGTGTAATAGAGAATCTCTCAATGTACGCCGCCTGCTTACAAAGGGTGCCATTTTATATGGAATACAGAGATGGGCGGCTCACCTGGGAATTACGTTAGTTAGTTAGTTAGTGAACTAAACCAAGATACTAACCACAAAACACTAACCAGACCCTTCCCAGCGGGCGACTGAAAATAGGTGGAAGGGTCGGTTAGAGGTTGGCCCCAGGTGATTTCTTCCTCCCTCCTCCCTGCAAGTCTTACCCAGCAGCTGTTATTACCAACAACATGGGAAATCAGCTCTCCCTTGAATTGTTATCTGAGATAGCTGCATATTTAAAAGAAGCCCATGAGCCACTTGCGCAGTACACCACCGTGTGCCGCCAATGGCAGGCCGCCTTTGAGCCACACATATACAGGCAGACCTGTGTCCACAGTGATGACCTCCAAGGTCAGAGTATCTTTTCTCTCTCCAAATTTCATATCATCACATCAGGAACAGGTATTGGGCGACTCTCTATGATTCAGGAGCTAGAGTACCGTATTATTTTGCCCTATCAACTGGACGATTATTGCGCAAGCATAACAGAAGATAAGGCATATCGCAAGGAGAATCCTATCAGGCATGCCAATGACGATGCTTTTAGGAGAGGTATTACTGAATTATTTACCACCCTAGCCTCCTGCAGTGACACTCATCGCCTTTCTCTCATACTTGCCGCACTGGGTCGCCAAAAAGAGTTGGAACCAGGCACCAGAGAGCATGCTGACGCCGGAACATTCCGTGGACTCCATAGGGGGGATGAGTGGGCTGTCCGGCCTTACCGTGCTCGGTTCCCAGATGGCAGTGCATCCGCACTGCCGGTTGTTTCATGCGTTGACAAGCTTTGTTTTCCTAACGCGGGGCTGGACCCCTGGCATATGATCTGGAGTGGAACGGCACTACAGATCGCGCAGCGTTGCCCAACCCTGAGACTTGGCTGCATTTAGATCTAGATGAATATGTTCGACCAGATCATTTGGACTACATCCGAGACCGGCGCCAAGGTAGCATTTCTCCTATATACAGTAAATATCCCGAACTGACTTCTTTTTCTAGCCGTGGCTGAGGAACTTTGTAACTTGCCGGCAAGTTTGAGAGTTCTTCACTATTTCAACCAACTCGAGAAGCCATGGCAAAATACTCTTCCTGCCCTAAATGTTCTGTCAGACAAAATAGACACATTCCCATTTCATGTGCGGTCCCTAAGTCTCCATCTCCGAGAACTGAAGATTATCCACGTGGCCATCACCTCCGATTTCTTCTGGCCACTGGATAAGCAGGGCAAACCAACAGGCTGTGGAGCATCACTGCATTGGCCCTATCTCGAAACAATCGAGTTTGATGAAATACCAGACTACCTTCCCTCAGGTAAACCTTCTTTCCCTAACTCAGGTTATGCTAACCAGACACAAAATCCGTATTTTCAGTCCCAAAAAGCTGATACCATATTTTATTAGGGGAATGGCTCTTCGACCCTGACTATTATGAGAAGACCGAAGTGCCCAATCTCGAGGCTCCAGATTGGGAAGACATTCGACTTGTTGAGGAATCGCCATACGACCGCACGCTGATGAACTTTGAGCACTTCCATCGTGTCTTTATTGCCATGGGCTATGCGGCACAGCATATGCCACTATTAAAGACGATCAGACTCCTAGTTCTTGCTGACGAGCAGTCTACCTTTGAGTTCTCTACCGATCAGTTCAGTGGGAGGAGGACGGTAACTTGGGCATCGGCTACAGGTTATAAACCCGATGAGCGAGTTGCGCAAGCTTGGGGTTTCGATCCGGATGACATTGATTTTATTGACCACTGGGAAGGCAGGGATGTGGAAACAAATGTGATATTTCACAGCTGGCCATTGGGAAATTATGCATGAGGTTACTACTGCCCAGGCGACTGGTTGGAGTCGATAGTGTCCGAGAGCGCACTTGCCCGCCTGCTTGACGCCATCCACAATGGTGCGGGCCAGTCATCGAAGATAACAAGAGGCACGATCAGACGCAGGATATCTTGGAAATAACCTGCGGCACTTCCATAAAGATAAAGCTGACATGAAGTAGCCAATGGCTCAGGCTTTTCAAATGCGCTGCGGACCATATTCTCCTCGCTTTGACTTCAGGTATCTTTGTCGAACAACGGCTGCTGAGTGCCATTCACAATACCGTGCCTCAGGGGACAGGCCGGCGCATAGGAGCCATTAATCATTCTCCCCGTTATCCTCCGGAGAGTCATTCGCCAACTGGCCCCCGAAGTCTCATTGTCCTCGGGGCAGGCGCGGCAATGCGGTGTGCGAAGCCACCACGCGAGAAGATGGGTCACCGAAGCGACAGCTATCTCATCGGTCTGTCTGTGTCTCAGCAACAATGAAACGACGATGTGAAGCCGCCATATCGATGAGGAAATACTCACGAGAGTAGTCGCATCACTATCTCCATCTGAATCGTCATTGCAGAAGATCGCCCTTCAGMATTACCAGCAACAATCTCTAAGTCTTCGCCCCCTTTAGATATTTGGCAATGGCGATGGTGTGATCTACCTTGAAGGGAGTCGGGTTCAGTGACTCCCAACCGGAAATCTCGTGGAAGAAGATTGACTGAGTGGCATAATAACCAAGTATCTAACGTCCGTCTCCTGTATATTGTCAGTAAATTGGACATTTCCTCCTGGGTTAGACTTACATTAATCATAACCCTGCCGTCATTTTCGTCATCGTGGCCATTGAAAATCGTTCACAGAAGGCCGTCTTGCATCAGATAGTGCCTACCAGCGGCCAGAGAAGAATAAAGCCAGGCTGGTTCCCCTGCCGGAGAATACGTCGAAGCGGCAGAGGCAAAGTTGCTATCGGCCAAGAATGCGACATGGGGTTCTGCTTTGTAACCCAAATCACTGATTTCATACTCTCTAGAGAGTCTACCTGTATGAGCGCCCAGAAAGTGGACGAGACACTATCTTGGCCAAGGTCGGCTGCTACCCGGCGAGTGCTGTGACAGTTCTGCGCGTTTTGACATGGGATATTACAGGGTTCATCAAGGGTTCCCAAGTAGCAGATAAAGCCATCCATGTAGGCGTAGAAGAATTCCCATGTCGCGGAACTTATCTATGTGCCGTTCAACAAGGGCAGCGTTGTTACAAAGCCGCGTTTCTTCTCTTTTGGAGGGGGCAACTGGCACAGTATATGTGCCATTTTGCCGTCCTAGAAGCATTTAGCAATCTTCAACAACTCGGATGAGTATGATTTTCGACCTACCTTTTTAACATCGCCCCTTTGATAATACAGGTCGCCACCGGCATGCCTGGAACAATATATTCCGTACGCAGCAATGCTTCTTCTGCTCTTGTTGGTCCCTCAGGTGACCCAGAGGGTACTTATAATGGGCCATCTCTTCATGCTGACGGTTAGTCCTTTGTTCCAGGTCAACAAAGAAGCTGAGAAAGAAGGTGTTTGACAAACCTGTTTTCTTCTCCCCCTTTGCTGTTCAGGGGAGATGTAGATTTCCTTTGAAAGGAACCCTATTCGCAACGATCTCCTTATTGCGACGGGGAGTCCGCTCGCCGCAGAAGGTCATACTGCAAATATGAAATGACGACTGCGGTCGAGCTGTCATTCGACCATTTGCTTGGCTTTGCAGCTTAGATCGGAAAAGATGAGAAGACGGCTATGCTATGGGATCTGTCCATAGATATACAGCGAGGCTGACAAGGCCTGATTATTGGCCATCTACGTCTGGAATAGATAGATCAAGCATATGTATGAGCACCATGCTCCGATGAAGATGATGAGAAGCAAGAGACGAAGAATAAAGAGGGGAAGAGGGAGAAGAAGAGGAAGAGAGCTGGATAGACTGGCAGTGAATGGTGAAAGAGAGGGAGAGCGAGCATGCATTCACTACTTGATCCGGAAATATCCTCATCTCAACAAAACGGTGAAGGCTGAAGCGGTGTGCTCGCCAAATTCAGTGAAGCGGATGAAAGAGGATTGCCTGGGCTATGTGACTGGGTCTGCTCTCTCTGAGAAATCTACACTGGAGTTTTGAGGCTGTTGGTCCGCTTCATGGATACTGACAACCATCCTTTGATTTTCATGTCTCAGCTATACAAGATGTCCACGCCAATCTACCATGATTACTTTGCCACATGGTATGATCGTCCTTTCCCTTCATCCTTTTGAAGAGTAGGGCGGAGTGAACGAGTCATTGCCGGGACGGGTTGGTTAGGATGTTTCAGAACTGGGCTTCCGTTTCAGCCCGTTCGGAGGTACTCCGTCTAGACCTAAGCTTCGCCCATTGATCGGTGGAAAAATCACCGAGGGTGAGAAGTCGTTCCAGAAGAAATAACTTGTCCGCATTCGCCAGACGAAGCCACAGAAAGCCTTGATTCCAATCTATCCGCTCTTCCCCTGAGTTTCTCCTAGAGATGTGGAGATTACCCAGGAGCCGTAGTCCAGGTAAGCTCCGACTTAGAGTTGAAATGTCTCAGCCAAGTCGGCTCTATAAATGTAGTTAAGCACGCCCGATGCTCTTCAGGCTTGCGGTTGCCATTTGTGCCCTCGCATTCCTTTCGTTTTGCTTCTGAGAAGTTTTGAGCGACAATGCGTCTTCACGCCTTTACTCTGCTCTCCCTACTAGGGCTGGTACCTAGCTTGGTCGCTGCATCACTCTCTGGCTCAGTCGGACCCCTGACCTCAGCGTCAGCAAAGGCAGCCAAGAAGACATGCAATGTCCTCGACTATGGAGCTAAAGCCGACCAGAAGACCGATCTGGGACCCCCTCTCGCAGCGGCGTTTGCGGCCTGTAAGTCGGGTGGATTGGTATATATCCCTGCCGGAAACTATGCCATGTCCACCTGGGTCAAGCTGGCAGATGGTAAAGCATGGGCGCTGCAGATTGACGGAGTCATCTACCGTACGGGTACGGGTGGCGGCAACATGATCATGATTGAGCGTGCCAGCGACTTCGAGCTCTTCAGCAGCACATCGTCGGGTGCCATGCAGGGCCTGGGATATGAGTTCCACGTTGACAACAACTGGAGTGGTCCTCGTCTACTTCGTCTGTGGGATGTGTCGAACTTCTCGGTTCATGACTTGATTCTTGTCGATTCGCCCTCCTTTCACTTCTCTCTCGACACTTGCTCCAATGGGGAGGTCTATAATATGGCAATTCGTGGTGGCAACCATGGCGGACTGGATGGTATCGATGTCTGGAGCACCAACATTTGGATTCACGATGTAAGAGCCACCCCGGGTTGCCGGATACGATCAAAGATGCTTTGGATCAGGGGCTGATTGATCGATAGGTCGAGGTGACGAACAAGGACGAATGCGTAACGGTCAAGGTATGTTCTTGTGACATAGGTCTTCTACTATGTTTGACTCTAACGCAAAACTTAGAGTCCTGCAAAGAATATCCTCGTGGAGAACATCTACTGTAACCTGAGCGGTGGTTGCGGCATGGGCTCCCTTGGGGCAGACACGGATATCAGCGACATCACGTACAAGAACATCTACACCTGGAAATCGAACAACATGATGCTGGTCAAGAGCAATGGTGGCAGTGGCACTGTTTCCAATGTTGTTTTCGAGAATTTCATCGGTAAGCAGCAAGGCACTCCGTTATCATCCAAAGTACAAACAAGCTGACCGAGGATTACAAAACGGCCACAGGTCACGGCAACGCTTACTCCTTTGACATCGACAGCTACTGGAGCAGCATGAGCGCCGTCGCAGGGAATGGTGTCGAACTGAGCAACATCACGCTCAAGAATTGGAAGGGAACCGAGGCAAACGGCGCACAACGCGGGCCCATCAAGATCATCTGTCCTGACAAAGCGCCCTGCTACGACATCCTCATTGAAGACTTTGCCATGTGGACCGAGTCCGGTAGCAAGCAGTGGTACTCGTGCCAGAGTGCCTACGGTTCTGGATTCTGCCTAAAGGCGGGATCTCAGCACGCCTCTTACGCAGTGACCACGACCACCGTCAGCAGTGCTCCGTCTGGCTATTCGGCAGCGAAGATGCCTTTGGATTTGACGACTGATTTCGGCATCACCAAGTCGATTCCGATCCCGACCATTCCCACAACTTTCTATCCTGGTGCAACTCCTTACAGCGCTTTGAAGTCTAAGCAGTCCACCAAGGCTGCCAAGGCACGCGCGGTTGACATGAGCATCGAGACGCCTGCGGCTGCATTCCCGTCAGAGCAAGAGGTGCAGGGCGCTTCACAGGAAACTGGTCAGCCATCTCCTAAGAGTGCTGGTCCCGTTCCTTCGGGTACTCCTGGCCCAGTACCTACTGGCGGCCATCGACCATCAAAACACCATCATGGTCACCACCACTCCCACCACCCCCACCACTCCCGGAGTGCTGCATAATTCTGCCTCCAAGTCGTATTGTATCCAACATCTTGAGCTCGATGATACGATTCGAGCTTCATGCAGTTTCCTGAGACTTTTGTGTAACATTCTAATCATACCGTACGAGCTTCTGTTGAGTTCTGTTCGACAAAATTCCATTAGCTTGACACACTTTCATTCTGACCTGTTTAGCTAAGTCGTCAACTAGTTTAAATCTAGAAGAGGAAAGCATCTTGAGTCACTGCAGGGTCAGTGAGACATCATTAAAGATTTGCTGTCAATCTGTCTCAAAGGGGGGGCCGCTCCAATTTAATGGCTCTTGAAGCAACATTCATAGTCATCAGAGCGCGTATAGATTGTAGAGGCCCTAGCTCATTGTAGCTGACTTTTCGTGGTATGTCTTTCTCGATGCGGCACGAATGGAGAGGTCTGGTCCGGCGGTTCGAGCTGCAAAGTGGAGAGCTCCAGACCGGCCCGCAAGGAACAGAAAGGGGAGGTTGTGCGCGCAACAGCTTGTTCCACCCAAGT